GCCCTGAAGTTGAAGAGGAAAGAAGAGGAGTCAGGCATGGCTCTTTCTCAGGTAAGGTCATATTCTCAGTGGATTCTCAGTCTGTCCTTCCTGAAATGCCCTTCTCTGGACTCAGTAATCGTGTCTGACTCTGAAGTGTCCTGTCTGACTCCTGCACATGCAAACTCACCCGGGGCCTTCCCTCAGGGCCTGTCCTCTCCACTTAGATCCCGTCTCCCCATGACCCGGTGACCTGGCCCTTGTGAGGAGGCTCCCCTGGGCACCGTCCTGGGCAGGGCTTCTCACCAACGGGTTGGAGACAGGGTCTCAGTGCTGTTGGGCAGCAGGGACTGTTTAGGGCCCATCTGGATGTGCTGTCTGCTCTCTGTCAACCAAGGTAAAGAAGCTGCATGTGGAAGTCAGGTATTATGTGCACAACATCTGGTAAAATCTGGAAATCAGTTCAGTAAGGGGAAATTTGTTCTGATTTTTTTCTAACGCCACTGAATGTAAATGAATGAGTCACTTTCTTCAAAAGCTTAATGATTGAGAGAATGACAATTCAGAAATAGCCTTCAGTGATGGTGCTTTATTGCATTATCGAATTTACTCTATGAAAACAACTTTAATTTCTGATAGTTGGAAATTCTTTCAATCATTTTTATCACCTCCATCACTCAGAAGTTGTGTTTCTACTCTGTGGATTGTATTGTGTGATACGCTGAAGTTTTTGGTAAAAGTAGGTTTTATCTTTGAAAAAAGCAGGTAAGGTTTCAGCTTCATTCTTTTGCTAGAAGATACCTACATTCTCAGCACCATTCATTATTATTTTTTTTTCATTTTCTTTTAACATCAAAAACATTTTGTATTGGGGATATAGCCGACTAACAATGCTGTGATAGTTTCAGGTGAACAGTGAAGGGACTCAGCCATACATGTCCATTTATCCATTCCCCCCCTCCCCGCCCCCACCCAAACCCCACTCCCATCCATTCTGGCACATAACATTGAGCAGAGTTCCATGTGCTATACGATAGGTTCCCATTGCTATGTAAACATAGCAGTGTGTACATGACCTTTCTAAGGTCCCCAGCGATCCCTTCCCCCTGCAACCATGAGTTCCTTTTCTAAGTCTGTGAGTCTTTTTCTGTTTTGCAAGTATGTTCATTTGTATCGTTTCTTTTTAGATTCCACATATAAAGGATGTCATATGATATTTCTCCTTCTCCCTTTGGCTCTTTCACTCAGTCTGACACTCTCTGGGTGTGTCCATGTTGCTGCAAGTGGCCTTCTTTCATTCTTTTTAATGGCTGAGTAATATTCCATTGTGTATCTGTACCACATCTTCTTTATCTATTCCTCTGTCGGTGGATATTTAGGTTGTTTCCACGTCTTGGCCATTGTAAACAGTGCTGCAATGAACATTGGGGTGCATGTATCTTTTGGGATCATGTTTTTCTTTGGATATATGCCCAGGAGTGGGATTGCAGGGTCATATGGTAGCTCTGTTTTTAGTTTTTTATTTTTTATTTTTTTTTAAGATTTTTATTTATTTATTTTTTTTTAATTAATTAATTAATTTATTTTTTTATCACAACCATAGTGTATCTTTTTTTTTTACATGTATTCCCGATCCCGGTCCCCCCTACCACCTCCCTCTCCACCCAATCCCTCTGGGTCTTCCCAGTGCACCAGGCCCGAGCACTTGTCTCATGCACCCAACCTGGGCTGGTGAACTGTTTTACCCTAGATAATATACGTGTTTCAATGCTGTTCTCTTGAAACATCCCACCCTCGCCTTCTCCCAGAGTCCACAAGTCTGTTCTATACATAGGAGTCTCTTTTTCTGTTTTGCACATAGGGTTATCGTTACCATCTTTCTAAATTCCATATATATGTGTTAGTATACTGTAATGGTCTTTATCTTTCTGGCTTACTTCGCTCTGTATAATGGGCTCCAGTTTCATCCATCTCATTAGAACTGATTCAAATGAATTCTTTTTAATGGCTGAGTAATATTCCATGGTGTCTGTGTACCACAGCTTCCTCATCCATTCGTCTGCTGATGGGCATCTAGGTTGCTTCCATGACCTGGCTATTATAAACAGTGCTGCGATGAACATTGGGGTACACGTGTCTCTTTCAGATCTGGTTTCCTTGGTGTGTATGCCCAGAAGTGGGATTGCTGGGTCATATGGCTGTTTTTAGTTTTTTAAAGAATCTCCATACTGTTCTCCATAGTGGCTGAACCAATTTTAAATTCCCACCAACAGTGCAGGAGGGTTCCCTTCTCTCCACACCCTGTCCAGCATTTGTTGTTTGTAGATTTTTTTGATGGTAGCCATTCTGACTGGTGTGAGGTGGTATCTCATTGTAGTTTTGATTTGCATGTCTCTTGTAACTAGCGATTTTGAACATCTTTCCATGTGCCTATTGACCATCTATGAGAGAGAAGAAATATCTATTCAGGTCTTCTGCCACCCATTTTTTGAGTGGGTTATTTGTTTTGATGCTATTAAGTGTCATAAGCTGTTGTAAATTTTGGAGACTAATCCCTTATCAGTCACATCATTTGCAAATATTTTCTCCCAACCTGTGGGTTGTCTTTTTGTTTCGTTTATTGTTTCCTATGCCTACAGCACCATTCATTATTGAGACAGAACGTCCTTCTTTGTGTAGTCTTGGCATCCATGTCAATACATTTTTCCATTTATCAAGAATTATTTCCGGTATTCTTTTTTTTCTTTTTTCTGCTGCACCTCTTAGCTTCTGAGATCTTTGTTCCTTGACCAGGGACCAAATCCGGGCACTCAGCACTGAGAACAGGGAGTTCTAACCACTGGACTGCCATAATATTTCCTATTTCTGGTACTCTAATCTGCTTCATTGGCTGATGTATCTTTGTTTATGCCAATACCACATCATCTTGATTACTTTTTAATATGTCTTGAAGTCTCACAATGATGGCCTCCATCATCTTTTCCAAGAGTATTTTGGTCCTTTGGGATCCCTTGAGATTTCCTATGAACTTTAGCATGATTTTTGTTTTCTGTTACTGCAAAAATTGCCATTGAAATTTTGATATAGATTCCATTGAATCTCTAGAACACTTTGGTAATGTGTTCTAGAATATTACATCTTCGAATCCATGAGCATGGCTGTCTTTTTATTTTTCTAACTCCATGGACTTCTTTCAGAACATTTACTAGTTTTCAATGTACAAGTCTCTCACCTCCTTGATTCATTTGTTTCTAGGTATTCTACCCCTTTTGATGCTATAGTAAATAGGAAGTGAAGTGAAGTGAAAGTTGCTTAGTTGTGTCTGACTCTTTGCGACCCCATGGACTGTATAGTCCAGGCCATAGACTGGAATTCTAGACTGGAATATAGAATTCTCCAGGCCAGAATACTGGAGTGGGTAGCCTTTCCCTTCTCCAGGGGATCTTCCCAACCCCGGGATCAAATCCAGGTCTCCCTCATTGCAGGCAGATTCTATGCCAGCTGAGCCACAAGGGAAGCCCAAGAACACTGGAGTGGGTAGCCTGTCCCTTCTCCAGCAGATCTTCTGGACCCAAGAATCAAACTGGGGTCTTCTGCATTGCAGGCAGATTCTTTACCAACTAAGCTATCAGGGAAGCCCATAGTAAATAGGATTGTTCTCTAATTTTCTGTTGGCATTGTTCGTTGTGTATAGAAATGCAATTGATTTTTGTGTGCTCTTTTTTTTTTTTTGGCTGTGACTTTTCTAAAGTTGTTGTTGTTTTGTTTTTTTTACTTTTATTTGCATTTATTTTCTGCGGCATTTATTCCCGGGCCATAAGTTTTTGTTTTTTCAGTTTCTTCTGGGATATCTTTTTCTTCTGTGCAACCTCCTCTTCTGGTTTAGGAACAATCTGTTCTTTTTCAGTAAGGATCATCTCAATGTGGCAGGGAGAGTTCATGTAGGGGTTGATCCGACTGTGAGCTCTGTAAGTCCTGCGCCGCATCTTGGGGGCTTTGTTCACTTGGATGTGCTCAACGACCAAAGAATCTACATCTAAGCCCTTAAGTTCAGCATTACTCTCTGCATTTTTGAGCATATGTAGTAAAAATTCAGCACTCTTTTTGGGCCACCGACCCTGCGTCCAGCCCCACTGTTTGGCCTGTGCACACCTACCAACTCCACCATTGTAACGACGGAATGGCACACATTGCTTCTTTAAAGTGACATCCTTCAGATACTTGGTGGCTTTTTGGATATGCATACCCTTTATGGCCTGGGCAGTCTCACGAGTGTTCTTAAAGTGAACATGAAGATTTGAACCTCTTGATTTGCATGATTTTGTGGGGTTTTCTGGGTCGAGTGAATAGCACACCATTTTCAAGGGTCAGCTCAGGCCGCTTACCGGAAAAGGAAGCTGAAGTTGTTTTTCAAGGTAGTAGTTTTATCTTGGAATCTTTTTGGTTTCTACATGTAAAACCTTGGCACCTACAGAAACAGGTAATTTTACTATTGACTTTGTACAGGGATAACTGAATTTTTTTTGTACAGGGATAACTTTGAATTTTTTCTTGTCTAATGTCTTTGGCAGAGATGTTCATTAGTGTCTTGAACAGTAGTGTCGAGCGTGCCTCTTTCTACTACTTGTTGTAAGCTCTTAGCAATGTGGACTTCCCCTTTAGTACAGCTCTGAGTACATATCATCAGTTTTGGTATGTTGTGTTTTTGGTATGTTTGTTTTCATTCAGATGCTACATAACACTTCAGCCTAGACCACCCATGGCTGGCTTTTATTTGTGTGTATTTCATGTGTTGTCTACAAGTATGAAAAATCCACATTGATTGGAGGACATTATAATCATGTGAAAAAGTATGAGGAATTAAAATTGGAGACACACAATTTGCTCCATGTCCCTTCGCATAGGTCTGTCAGAATACATACTGCAACTGAATTGATCCTTATCCCTCTTTCCTCTTCTCATTTTCCATGAGAATAAGAACTCTCCTTAGAGCCCCTTGGTGAAATACATTTTCATTTCAGGGATCATTGACATTCACTGATGTGGACATAGAGTTCTCTCAGGAGGAGTGGGAATGCCTGAACCCTGCTCAGAGGACTTTGTACAGGGATGTGATGCTGGAGACCTACAGGAACCTGCTCTCTGTGGGTGAGGATCACTTCCCTTTGAAGTGGGGATCTGTTTTAGGGTATCTCTGCATTTCCCCTCTTTGCCTCCTGGGAACCCCTGCCTTGCTTGACTGACTCAAAGCCCTGTTGGCTCAGACATGAAAAGCTTCAGGATGTGGCATCAGGAACTTAAACCTAACTTCCTCAAAAATTCTTCCCACTTCATGATACAGTTATTTCAGAACTCACTCTATATTTAAAGCTCAGTGACAAACTTTTAACAGTCCCACTGTCCTGTTTTCTACTCATGTGTGTTTTGAGTTAGCCATTCTAGAAATTGAGCTACATTTCTGCATTGTATACTGTTCCCTGTGTATTCTGAAGGAGGCCAGCAGGAGGGTAAGTTTCTGAAATGTTTTCCTCGACCTCTCCGTTGTGTCCTTAGTCCTTAGCAAGATAAAGAACGATGATTCTAGAAAAGCCACAGCAAATCACTTCTTTCTTATGTGTAGAAATTTCTGTTGATCATAGTGTAGCAAGAGGCAGAGCACGGGGCTGTGGGGACTGACATGAAATCATAGATAAATTTCCCGTCAGATTAAATGCTACATAGATAAATCCACAACCACCATCAGCGAGCATCCATGAAATTATAGTAGTAGTTGTCAGGGGTTATTGTGGTGTTCAGGACATGTAGCTTCCCTGCATAGTCTCTGTGCAGTTTTCAGAATCATTCCTCCTTGTCTTTGCCAGTGTGTTGGTCTTGATCCAGGAGACATGCATGTTTGAGATGTGAGCATTTACTCATTTTTCCCCTTACAGACTCTTTTGCTTCAGCAAAGTACTTATCTGATGCCTTCCTGCTACCAGAACTATTGGCTGGGAGGGAGATAGCCTGTCTCTGAGATACGTTTTGTGATTTTGATATGCCATCTCCTGGAAATGTAATATAAGTTCAACTCTAGTGCAGTGACGGTGCACACTTGGTGCGCTGAGAATGGTTTTGAAAACCTTTGTTCCCAGTTGCCACTTTCCACAATTACAAGTTTGTAATGATCATCTCCAGTGGGTAGTAGAGACTCTTAGTTTTCTATGAATTCTAAAGGTAGTTGTGGGTGTACATGGAGGAAACAGAAAATGTGAAGGTCCCACACTTGCTGGTTAGTGATGTTGAAAATATTTTCTTTTTCCAACTTTTACTCTGTATTCCGGCTTTAGTGAAAAGTCTTTCTCATTTTGCCCATTTTCTAATTTAGTTTGTTTGGGTTTTTTTGCCATTGTGGTTCTAGAATTCTTTAGGCACCCATAGCCATGGGTTCCCCTTATTTCTCAGTATCCTTCCATCAAGGTAAGGCCTTAATGAAGATGAGTTTAGCCAAATAAGGTGTGAGTGGAATTAATGAGTTTCTTATCTGAATGACCACATCCCTGTTTCTTATAAATGACAGTATCACACCCAGCAATTTTGCTTTTACAGGTATACCCAAGAGATTTGAAAACATCCATATAAACATCTTGTACAAAATGTTCAATAGAAGATTTTTCATAATAGGCAAAACTTTTAAATTGGAGCTATTATTTGTACATATGTAAAGTTCAGATGCAGATCCTTTTCTTTTCCCACTGTGAACATTCTTTTGATAGGCACCAGTTTTTCAAAATCGTTTCTTCACTGAATTGCCTTGATACCTTAGTCTGGTGGACTGCTCGGATGGGGAGTCATGCTAATAATATGTTGTCTTGGGAATTCTCTGGCAGTCCAGTGGTAAGAATTCTGCAGTTTGACTGCCGATGCCCCTGGTTCAATCCCTGGTCAGGGAACTAAGATCCTGGAAGTCATGTGGTGCAGCCTGAAAAAAAAAGAATATTTTGTCTGTCTGTAGGTTCAGATTCACACCTTCTTTCTCTGACTGTTCGTCAACTGAGGTCATGTATGTAAAGCCCTGAATCACTTCTCTTACTTGAAGAATTATGATCATCTTCCGCATGCCTTTAAAAATGAATAAGTAGAACTAGATGGCTGAGCATAGTGTGTTTTTAAAGACTCAAAAGTTACTTTTATATGAAAAAAAATCAGTATCCTGTTAAATTTATTATAGTATCACTTTGTCTGCCTTATGTCTTGTATCTCTTTCTTTTGCCATTTGTTTGTAGCAATATTGTGCATGCATGCTCAGTTGCTCAATCATGTCCCTGTCTTTGTGACTCCCTAGACTGTATCCCACCAGACTCCTCTGTCCATGGGATTCTCCAGCCAAGGATGGTGGAGTGGGTTGCCATTTCCTCCTCCAGGAGATCTTCCCAAACCAGCAATCAAACCCATGTATCCTGTTTCTCCTGCATTGGCAGGCAAATTCTTTGCCATTGAGCCATCTGGGAAGCTTTTTAACAATATTATGTCTGAACCTAATTAAATAAATTGACATGTTGCTCATTCTTCATTACATATAATTTGGAGCCAATAAACTATATATTTAAACTTCCTGCATATGTGCGGAATTGCTCTATTTACTGGCTCTTCATATAACTAAAGAATGTTTCATTTGTTCACATTTAATTTATTTAATTTTGATTTACAGATGATGGTTTTCAGAATGTTTTATGCTACTTCATGGCTATACAGATATATGCAAGGTACTTAGAAAAAATATTTAGCTTTTTCAAAAGCTATTTTATCAAATTCTTCATTTTCACAGTGCTGTATTTCTTAATCAATTCTGAACCACCACTCATTTAGGGTATTCATTAGATAATCTAGTTTTGGATTATTTACTCTTAGAATATATTTTATGTTCTTTTTCACTTATTCATGTGTAATAATTAGGCAGAATATATATATATATATATATGGTTTAATATTCTTTTCGCTTCACTTAAAGAAGACCATAATGTTTACATGTAATTGGTATGCGCTTTGATGTTAATGGTTGAAAAGTACACTTTGTTTAATATATAATGGAAGTTTTTCCAATATGCCTGTTTTTGTGATAGGTTATTTGAAACTAGGGTGCCCTAAAATTATTAGAATTACCTCTGATCCCTTTCATTATAGTAAAGAATCATTACTTTCTTATTGCTACAAATTCTATGGTCATGGTTAGGGAGCTTCATAACTGCTTGACATAGTATTACTTCTGGTATACTGCTGTGCATTTAACAAACATTTATTTATAAATTTAAATGAATTGAATATATACGGTTTGTTATATCTTGTAGATATCTCTTACAAACCTGTGATCAAGAAATTACAACTGAAAACAAACTCTGATAGAGGAGAGGTATTCAAGTCATGGATACTGGGAAGACCTGAAAGGAATGAAATGGACCTTTCTTACCTTAGGGTCATTCAGGAAAATATATATGACTTTCAGTCTAAGCAGAAAGATGAGGAAGAAAATTACAAAGGAATGCTTATAACCCATAATGAAAATCTAACTGATAATAAAGATCAACATGATGAAAGTGTTGCCAGAATCAAGCCTATTGAAAATTGGCTTGCCTTAAGCTTTCAGGATGAACTGCATATTTTTAAAAGTGAAGACAAAACTGATAAATTCATTCAAGCTGACAAGATTCTCAATAGTTGTGCCCCATTTTCACTGCTTCAAAGAATTTCTTCTAGTGTAGAAATGAATGTTTCTGATATATATTGGAGTAATTACATGCATCCTTTAATAGTGACACAAAACCAGGAAGCACAGAGGGAAAGACTTTACAAATGTGGTGAGGATGGCAAAATCTTTCTTCAGAGATCAAACCTCAGTAGACATCAGGTCGTCCATACAGAGGAGAAACTACATATATGTGATGTATGTGAAAAAGTCTTTAGTCAAAATTCACACCTTGCAAATCATCAGAGAATTCATACTGGAGAAAAACCTCACAGATACAATGAATGTGGCAAGCTCTTTGGTCAAAAAACACACCTTACAAATGACTTGAAAATTCACACTAGAGAGAAACCTTACAAATGCAATGAGTGTGGCAAGGTCTTTAGTCAAAAAGCAACCCTTACACGTCATCAGAGAATTCATTCTGGAGAGAAACCCTACAGATGTAATGAGTGTGGCAAGGTCTTTAGGGAAGAGGCAACCCTTGTGTTTCATCAGAGAAATCATACTGACGAGAAACCTTATAAATGTAATGAGTGTGGGAAGTCCTTCCATTACAGCACAAAACTTCGTAGACATCAGTTAATCCACACGGAAGGGAAATTATATAAATGTAATATATGTGACAAAGTGTTCCATCATAATTCCAGCATTCCAAGACATAAGAGAATTCATACTGGAGAAAAACCTCACAGATGTAATGAGTGTGGCAAGCTCTTTGGTCAAAAAACACACCTTACAAATCACTTGAAAATTCACACTAGAGAGAAACCTTACAAATGCAATGAGTGTGGCAAGGTCTTTAGTCAAAAAGCAACCCTTACACGTCATCAGAGAATTCATTCTGGAGAGAAACCCTACAGATGTAATGAGTGTGGCAGGGTCTTTACGGAAGAGGCAACCCTTGTGTTTCATCAGAGAAATCATACTGATGAGAAACCTTATACATGTAATGAGTGTGGGAAGTCCTTCCATTACAGCACAAAACTTCATAGACATCAGTTAATCCACACGGAAGGGAAATTATATAAATGTGATGTATGTGACAAAGTGTTCCGTCATAATTCCAGCATTCCAAGACATAAGAGAATTCATACTGGAGAGAAACCTTACAAATGTGATGAATGTGGCAAGGCCTTTAGTCAAAAATCAAACCTTGGAATTCATCAGAGAATTCATACTGGAGAGAAACCTTACAAATGTAACGAGTGTGGCAAAAGCTTTAATCGGAACTCAGCCCTCACTCAGCATAAATTAGTCCATAGAGAAGAGATATCATATAAGTGTGATGTATGTCACAGGGTCTTCCATTGTCATTCAAACTGTGCAAGACATCAGAGAGTCCATACTGGAGAGAAACCTTACAAATGTAATAATTGTGACAAGGTCTTTAGTCAGAAAGTACACCTTAGACATCATCAGAAAATTCATACTGGAGAGCAGTCTTAGAAATGTAGTTAAGTGTGGCAAAATTTTTTATCACAGGTCAACCCTCATTCAACACCTGAGAAATGAGACCAGAGAAGAATTATAGTATTGTAAGGAATGTGGCGAAGTCAGTGGTCAAAATTCAGACCTTTCAGTTCATCAGAGAATTCATAATGGAGGGAAACCTTTCACAGGCAGTTGAGTAATGAAAAGCCTTTACTCAGACCTCAACCCTTACTACGCATCAGGGAATCAATACAGATAGTAAACCAAGTTAATGGATACATGTGGGAAGATCTTCATTTAACACTGACATTTTAAAGTCTTGGGAAATTCATGGTGGGGAGAAACTTGTGCACATTCATGAGTGTGGCATGGCTTCATTTATTATAAGAAAATGTGTACTGGATAGAAATTGTAGAAATTTTATAACTGTCTCTGAATCTTAAGTCAAAATTTGTACTTTAAAGTCCACCAAAGAATCATAGTGGAGAGAAACTTTATTAATAAAATGAGTGTGACAAATCCTTTGGTGTACTCTCAAGTCTAACTTACTGTTAGGCAATCCGTGTTTGTGAGGGAATTTAAGAAATGGTTTTAGCAGGTGTCCCCCTCTGAACTTCATTTGAAAGGTCCTTTTGGAGATAAATGTGTTTTAAACAAGGAATTCAATCACCAAAGAATTCATTCTCGCTTCCGGGCGGGTGACATTCAGCTGGCCAGTCGGGGCGATGGGCTCTCCGTTCTAGGACCATGGCCCAGTTGGTCCGTAACCTTGTGGAGAAGGCCCCGGCACTGGTCAACGCTGCTGTGACTTACTCGAAGCTTCAATTGGCCATGTTTTGGTACTATGCCAAGGTTGAGCTGGTTCCTCCAACCCCTGCTGATAACCCTACAGCAATTCAGAGCTTGAAAAAAATTATCAACAGTGCTAAAACTGGTAGCTTCAAACAGCTCACTGTTAAGGAAGCTCTACTGAATGGTTTGGTGGCCACTGAGGTGTGGATGTCGTTTTATGTTGGCGAGATCATAGGCAAGTGTGGCATCATAGGCTATGATGTTTGAAGACCAATTTTTAACATGTGATTATATTTGCTTTATTATTCAAGTGTTCTTGGACCATGTGTGAGCAGACTGCTATTTGAATAAAATAAGACAATGTGTCAGAAAAAAAAAAAAAGAATTCATTCTCAAAATTACCTCACAGTTGGGGTGAACACTAGAAACTCTTACTTGGGTCTCACTTTTCACCAATAATCAAATAATCTGCACTGCACAGAACATTACAAGTGTATTGAATTTTGCAAAGCTTTTAGGTTGTTTCTTAAACATCCGAATCACCAAATACATCATCCTTTAAAATGCAATGACTGTGGCAAAATTTCACATTATGACTCCCTCGTCACTAGATAGCAGCATACATATCCTGGAGAGAAGACACGGAAATGTGTGTGGCAAGGATTTTACCCAAAGGTCAGAAAATGGGACACGGGGCTTCCCTAGTGGCTCAGTGGTAATGGATATGCCTGTCAGTGCAGTAAACATGGGTTCAATCCCTGATCAGGAAGATCCCACATGCTGCAGAGCAACTAAGCCCATGCGCTACAACTGTTGAGCCTATGCGCCTCAACTACTGAAGCCCGCACACCCTAGAGCCTGTGCTCCTTGCAACAAAAGAGGCCTGCATACTGCAACTCAAGGGTAGCCCCCACTCGTTGCAACCAAAGAAAATCCCGTGCAGCAACAAAGATTCAGCACAGCCAAAGATAAAAAATTTAAAAAAAATTTAATTAAAAAAAAAAGACATAGTTATGTTGAGTTCAAGAGTAAGGCAAGATCAGAGAGTCCATTGAAGAGAAACACTTCAAATCCATGAGTAGAGGCTCAATGCAGGTCTCACAATGCACTAGACATTTCGATATACATCTTTCATAGAAACCACACAAAGCAATACCTGTGCTAAGGCTTTTTTTTTTTTTTCCCCTTGTGCTAAGGCTTGTACAAGAAGATAGACACTCTGAAACACAGGACTTACTCTGGAGAGGAATTTTTCAAATGTAATGAGTATTGTAAAAATTTTCATCTGGTAACCACACCTTTTGTGTAATAAGTGCACCTATACAGCTCAGAAACTAGAAATTTACCGATCATGGAAACCAATGCATCCTCAGCATTCACTGAAGAACTTATATTGCAGAGAATCCTTTCAAGTGTGATGATGTTGGTAAATAAGTTATTTCTCCAAGATTGTGGTGGTGGTGGTTTAATCACTGAGTTGTGTCTTGACTCTTGTGACCCCTTGTACTGTATCCCTCGAGGTTTCTTTATCCATGGGATTTCCCAGGCAAGAATACTGGAGTGGGTTACCATTTTCTCCTCCAGGGGGTCTTCCTGACCCAGGGATTGCACCTGCGTCTCTTGCGTTGCAGGCAGATTCTCTACTACTGAGCTATCAGGAAGAGCCCATTTCTCCGAGATTAGTCTGAGATTATTACACTGCAGAATCATTGTAAGTGACAATATGTTAAAACTAATGACATATTTGCTATATGAGAGAAAGGACGTATGTGGAAATGGCCCATTATCTGTATAAATATGTAATTACCGGTGTCTTTTTGAACTGTTTATACCTTTCTACCTGAAGTTTGAAGACTGTTGATCTTATGAGTTCATTACAGCTCTTTTATGATTGTCTGAGAAGAAATAAAAAGAGGGGGCTGACTTCATTTAGTGTGGGTGATGCATATCCTTATTTCCTAGAAAAGGAAGGATCTTAAATTATCCAATTGAATACTGTGTGAATTAGCATCAGAGAGGGACAAGAAGTAATATAAAAATGTGACATGATTAACCATGCTTATTTATCTCGGAGATAGGTCACAATGAATCATTAGACAGAAGCATTTGCCAATCACTATGAACAGATCAGCAGGATCTTAATGGACTGAACTTTACATGGGAAGAAAGTGAAAAGCTAATAGTGATTATGTGGTAGCAACAATACACATGGAAAGTCGGTGACATTCTGCATTGCTTGGGAATAGCTGTTCTATACATGTGATTAATGAAAAATTAGTCTTGCTCTTTGAAATTAAAGAGGGCAGTTTTTGATTGTGAAAGAAAAATGTAATCCAAACTGCGAGAATCCTGTGTGTATATGTTCAGTTCAGTTCAGTTGCTCAGTCGTGTCCAACTCTTGCAACCTGATGAACTGCAGCACGCCAGGCCTCCCTGTCCATCACCAACTCCCGGAGTCGACCCAAACTCATGTCCATTGAGTCGGTGATGCCATCCAACCATCTCCTCCTCTGTCGTCCCCTTCTGCCTTCAATCTTTCCCAGCATCAGGGTCTTTTCAAATGAGTCAGCTCTTCGAATCAGGTGGCCAGAGTATTGGAGTTTCAGCTTCAACATCAGTCCTTCCAATGAACACCCAGGATGATCTCCTTTAGGATGGACTGGTTGGATCTCCTTGTAGTCCAAGGGACTCTCAAGAGTCTTCTCCAACACCACAGTTCAGAAGCATCAATTTGCTTTTTTCCTTGCCCCCAGCAATGGAAGAGCAGAGCCCTAATCACTGGGCCATCAGGGAAGTCCCTCAGTCCCTCATCTGGGAACTAAGATCCCAGAAGCCACACAGATCACCTAAATTTTTTTTTTTTTCCCTGAAATCCTCCATTTTGCTTCTGTCACTAAATAATAATCTTTTTCTGAGAGAGAATAGTTTTCTGGTTTTTTTTTTTTCTTATATTTAAGTGTGGTTGATTTACAACCTGGTGTTGATTTCTGCTTGCTGTACATCAGTAACAATATGTATTATATAATATACATATTATGTATGTTATATAACTACACATTATTATATAGAAGAGTGTATAATGTATAGAATAGAATATAGATATAACTTTTTGTATTTTTTTCCATTATATTTTTTAAGTTTAATTGAAAAACCGGTAGCTTTAAAAAAAAAAATACTTATTTGGCTTCACCAGGTCTTGGTTGTGGTATATGGGATCTTCCCTCTTCCTACCAGCCTGAGAGAGTTTTAGTTGTGGCATCTGAACTCTTTAACTGGGGCATGTGAGATCTACTACCCTGACAAGCGATCCTACCTGCCGCTCCCCACATTGTCAGCATGGAGTCTTAACCATCGTCCCTCCAATATGTTGTAACAGAATACTGTATAAGGTTGAAGACAAAAGGAGAACGGGGCCGGGCAGAGGATGAGATGGTTAGATAGCATCACTAACTCAGTGTACGTGAAACTGAACAAAATGCAGGAGATAGAGGAGGACAAGAGAGTCTGGAGTGCTCCTAAGAGGCAGAACAATAAATCCCAAATTCCCAATCCTGTCTCCTCCACTCGCGAAGGGGGGACAATTTTTACTTGTAAAGTAACTGGCCCACAGAATTTTAGCTTTTACCGTAAAACTGTTACAGATAGTCACTTAGGATAAGCAGGTAAAGGTACGGGAAAGCGCCTTCAGCGCCGGGCTCTCCTGGGCCCCCGCCTCCTTCCGCCCCCAGCGGCGACGCTCCGCCCAGTCTCCGACTCCGGAAGTCCCACCTCCTCCTCTCAGCCACTCTTTCCGCTATCACGCAGGTGGAGTTAGATGGTGAGTGTCTTACTGCGAGCCGTTGTTTCAGTTTTCTAGGGTGTTCTTTGTTTAAGGTCGTGGGAGTGACTCTCGACCTTAAAACCCAGCACCCGGCATTCCAGCCCGCGTAAATCCATACCTCGTCCTTACTCGTCGGGTATGTGTTCATTTGGGCTTGATTTCGGTGTGAGGCTGGCCGCATGCTCTTGGCTTTTCTGCCTTCTTTACACGTTAAGGCACCACTTTTCGCCACATCTTTCCCGCTTAAAACCCTTTACTACCTATGCCTCTCCGCCCCATGTAAAGTCTTCTGCGAGGTGGATTCGCGCCCCACCCCCGCAGCCTCACCCTCTCGGCCTCTGGAGGCCGCGCCGGC